TACAGCGGAAAAAAGACTTTGTTGATTATTTTGAAAAACTAATAAATCAATCAACGATTGGGGATGGGGTGACTCTGAAATCTAATAATTTACGAAAAAGGGTTATTTTTTACATATGAATAAATAAGTGGATTAATATAACGTGTGCAATTTTTTTTTTTCCGGGGGGTGGGTCATACATCATGAGATGCCGCAACGGTTGACACCGGACCTAGCGACGCCACTTAATACCACATTATGCAAAAAAGTATTAAATGATACACTTTTTCCAAGAATATTCAATAGCTGCAAACTATATGCACTTACCAGCAAGAAAAAATCCAAGAAAAATGAGCAATAGCATTGTTTTGTTTTTGTGTGCAATAAAATGATGTAGGCCTACTAAATCCGTAAAAGCTACAAAATGTGAATGAAAATTAACATTTAAAAAATAATTTTAATAAAATACAAAAAAGTAAATAATTCCTTATACTTTTAATGTTTACAATTATATATATATATATATATATATATATATATATATATATATATATATATATATATATATAAACGTATATGTATAAATGTATAGACCGTCTATAGATATGCCACTAAAAGAAACGCAGTTTACCATTTTATGGTTGAGATTTAAGGACTTAGTTCAAAACGATAATAGGAGTAAAACAAAACCATTGAATTTTATCGATTTTCTTTTGAACTATTTAATTGAGTTTCTAAGTAATTGTAAATATTTAGTTCGATGCCAACATTATTTATTTCTGGATGGCTAAAGTACAAAACGATTGTAGTACGAAATCAATATTCTTTTTTAATTGTAAATTTCATGTATTCAACTAAAAATATTTAACGTAAATTAAATGTTAAGATAATAACGTCTTTCAATGTATATATCTATCTATCATTCCGTCTACCAATGTATCTACCTATCTATCGGTGCTTCTTGTAATCGTTTCCCTGAAACACGTTCACTGACCCTTCACCCAAGGAAACATAATTTAAATAGAAAATATATGAAGAAGACACATGATTCCGCCGTTAGGTGATTGCTCATATGAAACTGGCGAGGTTCGATAACGCCAAAAACATTAAGAACCACTGAACTAAACTAAGTAAAAAAAGTGTAGGATATAAGCATTGAACACCATATAGGCCTATTAGCTACGGTGAAATCAAACCTAGCATGTAATTAACAGCTTTCAAAGATGTAGACAGGAACTGTACCATTGACTCTAAAAAAAATGTGAAAAAAGATAGGTCCAAGGCTTTACTAAACTCCCTATCCAGTTCATGGTCGAATTTCACAAAACATTCAAATACATTACAGGCAACCGTTATTAACTTTACATATTTATATATTAATAGTGTTGAATATAAAATATTATTACAGAATGGAATACAATACAATACAATGTAAAGTAATGTAATGTAATATAAAATAATGTGATGTTACGCACTGCAGTGTTGTTGTGTGTGTGTATTTGTGTTTTGCGGAAGTAGTTTCAAATTTTATTTAATTATTCTCCGAAAAAGGCCAATAATCTTAAGTTGTCGTAGGGGGAGCGGCTGCTCCCCTTGCTCCCTCCCTACGTACGCTACTGCCTCACATTAGGGTTTAAGAAGGGTTGTGTTTGAGTGGGTGAGAGTATAATAGCTAATCCCAAAAGTCCCGAGTTCGGACCCGGTGAGCTGAGGCTGGTTATCATGGGATAACCCCCCATCGAGGAAAGAATGCCAGAATCAAACAACTTCTGTCTTGATAATTGCTATTGGGTGGACACCGGCTATAGAAACAAATTCAGAAAGAAAAACAGACTGAAGTCGGACTAAACGGGCCACAAGGCGCATACCACTTTTAATTTATTGTCTTGGGGTTATACCCTCTAGTGTTGCAATTAAGAACGAAAAACAAAATAAAGTCTTTAAGAAGTAGAAAAAATAATCATCTAAAATTATTTGTATAAAACAAGAAGGTATATGAAATACTTTGGTTCCTTAAAAATCCCTGTACCCAGCAACTCAAATTAAGGTATAAAGTATATAACAGGATTGTATATAAAATCAAGGACAGATCGCAAAATATCATCGATAGAATAGACAGAAAAGCACCAGGAAATACAAGACATAACTGCAGTTGCTACTATTCGTCATTAGAAACATTAAAAAATATTAAACAAACCATCAAAAAAGCATTACAAAATATTAGACAACTGCAGAAGTCATAGGTTATCACGTGACAAAACTCAAATCCACTTAACATAAGACTGAAGTAACCGCATTTATACCAAAGCAATGAGAAAAATAAATGTAAAGGTGCTGACATTTTTGACGACGACCAACTTATATGAGAAGCGTTAGCAGCCAAAGTACAAATAAACAAAGCAAAATAAATACTGTGCGGAAGGATTGCCTTACTCTCTTTTTGTTGCAAACGTGTAATTCATGTGATTATAATTGAATGGAACATTTTTGAAAATTTCAAGACCAGCATCCGTCGGTTTATGAACTAGCATTTAGAGGGTTAAACGGATCTTATTTTCATTTCGCTTGTCGTCGCACTTTGCCAGCTAGTAGTGGGAAACCACATTAACCCTTGAGCGTCCACGGTGCTGCCGAACTTGCCGTTCAAATTGGAGTGCTGGCAGTTCTCAAACCACCATCCACCGTTATTGGCGCAGCCCGTGTTGGCCCAGTCAAAGGTTGAGAACCCCTGATTTTCGCGGATGTCGAGCCCATTGCCAGCATCCCCGTAGGTTGAAGTAAACTGTAGCTTGTTGTTCAGTGACTCGTCCGACAGCTGAAATCCAGAATAAACTTGGTAGTAGCTGCTCCCATTGTAGGTGATGTCGATTCTCATGTCGAGTAGGCTTTTGGAGCTGATGCAGTAAATGTTCTCATTGCCCAGGTAGAAGTTGCCATTGCCGTAATCCCAAAAGCCCTTCTTGTAATCTTCCCAGCTCCGGTTAAACGAGACATCCACAGACACACGTCTCTGTATAACGGTCCAGCCTCCCCCACTTGTGGTTGTGTCACACATGACCACTAGCTATTCATCAATTATAATCATTAGTTCTGCTAGTCTCTCCGCCAGAAACTCGATATAGCTATCACTAGGCATGCTGCCCAGCTTCGCTTAGGCTTTAGAAAACATTGAGAATTTGAATGCTTAATTAATTCGCCCGAGGGTCGGTCTACGACCTCAGGAGTTATGAAGAGGTTCCTACGTGGACATTTTTTTTCGATTTATAGCTCATATAAGTCGTCGGTCAGTCGAGGTCAGTTTTGACCCCCTCATCGTAGACTTTTCGGCCAACCGACCAAATTTGAAGCGCCTGCGGCGCCGGGAAGTGCCCTATCGGGCACCCGACAACTTTGCTTTATATATTATAGAGATTAGCAAATTGCATAGATAAACAAAGATTTCAATAAAGTAATTAAGGCCTGAAATACTTTAGTATAGAAATGTATTATTTGAATATATTCTAGATCTAGGTAGGGTCTACATCTGTGCAAGTCTAGTTTTTCCGTAGATCTAGATAATCTAGATCAAGATCTAGAATATCTAGATCTAGAATATCTAGATTTAGAATCCTAATAGAATTTCTTTTTTAAGTTTAGCCCGAGCAAAATTGTATTGTATAAATTTTATAGCGTACGTAGATCTAAATAATATTTGAATTCTTCTTCTTCGTTCTTATTTGAATGAAATGGTTTATTTCTTTTAATTCTAAACTCGGAAGATGACGTCATCAGTTTCGTGCTCTTTTTTTTAGTGTAAACAATAAGCGACGTCATTGTTAAATGCGTTCTTGTACCTAGTTTAAACTTTTTTCCGGTTGCATAATTAAAATTGTTTTTCTACATTCGAATACGCCTTTATTTTTTATTTTTCTTCTTTAAAAAATTGTGGTTATACATTTTAAACATCTAACATATTATTTTCAACAAAAGTCTGTATAAAGTTCTTCATATATCGCTGCAGTTTCTGATGTGATGTCCGGCGAAAATATTTTGTGGACAGAGAGAGAGAGAGAGAGAGAAGTGCGCACATAGGCCATTATATATTAGGATAATAGCTTAGATGGTTTTTCAATAGCATTGAATGAAAGGGACTTAAAATAAAACAATTTCTAGTTGTATTTGCCACACGTTGGTTCCATGAAGTTATGATGCTGTGAAATTCGAAGCGACATTTTTTTATAGCGTTTGCTGTGGTAACGATTTTTTTCCATGTACGATTTCTTTAAAATGAGAAAAGAGAAACACCACCATTTGGGTTTTTGTATTGTTTTTACAATTGAATGTCTGATAAATTTTATTATATTTAAGAACTAAAAATTGAAGGAATGAGTAACACATTTTGGTTATAAAAAAGAAAAACGACAAAATCATAAGTGATAGTTTGACAAAGTTTATTTATATTGATAAATATTGAAACGGTAAGATAAAGACAAACAGAAAAAATAGGTAAAGTGTGCTAAAAGTCTGTATAAAGGATTTAAATATTAAACATATCATCGGTACCAACATGGAAAGATAACATTGAATGTTATTTTGCTATTATTTTTCTCGTTGAAGCCAAACATTTGTTACGTTGCCTCTTGGTTTCACACACACGAAAGTTCCTGGCCACTTCATGTAAATGGGAAAGTGGTCGAGTAGTAGTGCTTTAGTCGTGGGTTACAGAGTATGAGAGTGGGAAGTCTATGGAAATGTTATACAACGGTTTATAAATTTGGCGTTCAGTGAAAAGTTGCAAACTAAATGGTATGACGATGTTGAATTATTAGAGTTAAAATGGGTGTTATCACAAAATACAGATCTGAAGCGAATGAAATAAAAACGATGGAAGAAAATCTCGGCTACCAAAACATATGTTGCACTGCAAAAGGAAACAAATTTACAAGAAAACACTAATGTAACTTTATCTGTAATGAGATTGCACCAAACGTTTTGCAAAAACGAAGGCATACGGTTTTTAAAAATGAGATGTAATAAGCAATTTAAACGGACCTTATTTTCATTTCACTAGATGTCGCACTGTACCAATTGGTAGTAGGTTTCCAAACTAGCCCAACATATTCTGCAGTGGTACCAAACAACCCATTTAAATTTGCCTGGAAGCAACTCTTAAACCACCAGCCTGAACTATACCAAACAGCACAGCTTGAATTCCTCCGATCAAATGTCGAGAACCCCTGATTTCTGTGGACACCAAGTCCATCTCCCGCGGTACCAGAATTGGAATTGTATTGTAGTGTGTAGTTGTTCGCCTCGTCCGACAGCTGAAATCCAGAATAAACTTGGTAGTAGTTGCTCCCATTGTAGGTGATGTCAATCCTAAGTTCGTGTTGACTTTTGGAGCTGATGCAGTAAATGTTCTCATTGCCCAGGTAGAAGTTGCCATTGCCGTAATCCCCAAAGCCCTTCTTGTAATCTTCCCAGCTCCGGTTAAACGAGACATCCCCAGACACACGTCTCTGTATAACGGTCCAGCCTCCCCCACTTGTGGTTGTGTCACACATGACCACTAGCCCAGAGGTCAGTCGCACCACTTGTCGGGAATTCCCGCTCGGCACATCTTTGCACGTTCTGTAAGTGGGAATATTCTGTGGGTCAAAGGTTGGGTTGTTGACAGTAGGTATAGCGCTGCCTAAAACAGACAGAAAATAAAATAATTGTAGAACAAAAATTTAGTTAAATCGGGACCAGTAGGTCAAAGTTTGGGTCAGGTCTACGTCTAGGTGTGTCTTTGGGTTTGTCTTTGGGTTTAGGAAAAGTATTAGCTTTACAAAAAGTATTAGGTATAGGTTTAGGTTCTGGTTTAGGTTAAGGTTTCGTTGAAGGTCTAGTGTAAGGATTAGTTTTAGGCTTAGGTTCAGGTTTTAAACCTACCTGCGCAAGCTGTGACGTCACACGAGCTCAGGTTCCCATTGGCTAGGAGCGCGACGTTCTCCGTGGTGTTACATAGCTGACTGTCGGAGTGGAGGGTAGGTTGGGGTTTGGTGACCGATTGGTTCGTTGGGAGCAGCCAAGAGCCTGGGTACAGGAAATAGAAACATTAGGGCACGTGCACATCTGATGTACGTCTTGGGTGGAATCCACTCGTATACATTTATATAGAAAACAATAGCGACTTTTAATACAAAGGCAATCAAAAGTGTAGTTGCGCAGTATTAATATATTTATATATATATACATATACATATATATATACATATATATATATATATATATATATATATATATATATATATATATATATATATATATATATATATATATATATATATATATATATATATATATATATATATATATATATATATATATATATATATATAAAGTATGAGGGGGGTGCAAATCGAAAGTTTGAGGGGGGTGAAAATCACAAGTCTGAGGGGTGGGGGGTGCAAATCGAAAGTTTGTCCCCGGGTAAAAATTGGAACCCCCCCCCCCCCCTTTGAGACGATCCTGGCTACGCCACTAGGTGTTGTCGTTTTTTTCGTTTTCTTATAGTAGACTGGGCATATGAGGCGTATGTAAAGACACGATATGGCGTATTGCTCAGGACAGACATTTAAAAATGAATTAAGGTGGATTCGGCCCACGACGTACCGTAAAGATTAAATAGGCACTATTTTTGTTACTTTTTAGGCAGTTTAGAATAATATTATGTTTAGAAAAAAATCTTGCAATTTTTCGGTGAATAAAGCATGGAAAATAAAAGAAGTAGCGGGATAATTGTAAAAAAAAAACATCGCGTAAGTAAAAAGTCAAAGTATTAAGTAACAGTGTTATAGACCATCAATGCATATAAAAATATCATTAAACTATTAAGAAGCAGTGCTATAGACCATAAATGCATATAAAAATATGGTTAAAAATCAAACTTCCACTTGGTGTCAAAATATTTTTTTTATCTTATGTATAAAAATATGTATATATATATACGCATCATTACGTATTGTCAACTAGATATTTACATCAAGGAAAACACTATAATACAGAAATAGCTCTATCAAATGACAAGTCGTCATTACCTAGCTGACATTTGCCTGACATCTTGTCATACATGAAGCTGTAGCAGACCTTCTGTGACCTGGTACAACGCATGCTGCACTGGACTCGGCTGCTGACCGTGTACTCCTCACCTATAAACAACATCATTCTCTGTGTCTTGTCCTGTGCAGTGAAGTGTCGTTCTATAGCCTCACCTGCTAGACATATTACGGCAGTAAATTATATCTCTATAGCCCCACCTACTATATATATTAGAGCAATAAAGTGCCTCTCTATAGCCTCACCCACTAGACATATAGCAGAGTAAAGTGTCTCTCTATAGCCCCACCTGCTAGACAAAATTGAGTCTGCTAGAATTGACATGATATCACGAGGGTTCCCAGAAAGAACCGCAACGGTAAAAAGCGCAACGGAAAAAAGCGCAAAACAAAAATTAAAAACGGAAAAAAGCGCACACGTAAAAAAGCGCACAGAGAAAAAAGCGCAAACAGAAAAATGCGCAACCAGAAAAAAACAACGAAAAATGTGCAAAAGAGAAATTTAGCACAAAGACCATATGGACTAGATGACACATTTATACATGACTGTTAGGGCTGCTGTGAGAGTGTTGTGTTTGATCACGTGATCTACTACCATTTAAAGCTTACCACTACCATCTGCATTCCCATCACCACCATACGGGCAAAAAATAAAATTAAAATTGAAAAAAAAAATTAACATTGACGTAATGGTCTAGAACCTGTGCCACCCGCATGAAAGCCGATTACACTAACAACTTAGCTATTTAACTCGTGACGTCACAGATGAATTTTTATACTATACTTTAATACTTTGAGTCTCCTTATGCAACTTGATTTACGCGCATAGATCTAGATCTAAGTCTAGTAGTAGTAACTTTCAAATTAAATTTTATCTTAAATTAGCCAAACAAAGATGTATATAAAATAAAGAAGGTCTGAAATTATCTAGATCTAGATAGAATTATCTAGACTAGATTCTACGACTCGTTTGCTTAAGTCTTAGTCTTAAGTCTAGATCTAGATCTAGTTGCGTAACTCTTGCTAGATCTAGAATCTAGATCTAGAATCTAAAAATTCTAGATCTAGAATCTAGATCTAGATAGATAAATCACAAAGATTTATATCAAGTATTTAAGGACTAAAAATGTATTATGATTATAAAAGTGATTATATTTTTATTTAATTAATCTTTGGTATGTAGGCCTATCTAACTAATCTTTTTTTTTACCTAGATTCTAGATCTAGATCTATAAATAATTTGCTTGGTCACATGATATTTTTAGATCTATAAATAACTTTTTTGGTCAGATTGTAGAGAAATTTATTGTAAAACTAAATGAAAAAGACAGTTGAAAATGTATATAAGTGTTGAAACGTAATAAAAACAGCAAACGGACGTATTGTTAAAGTTATGGCCGACAGAAAATTAGATTTAGAACGCGTTAACTCTTTACAATTCTCAGATTTAGTAGAAAAATATTGGAGTACACTGGTCTCAATTGTAAAATGTCCACTAGACATTATTAAACAAGGAAAGTATATAATGTTATGCACCATTTTTTAGGTAATTGAATAGAGAATCAGCAGAGATTAAAAAATCCAATGTAGCAGGTATGGTCTTGAGGGCACAATTAATTAATTAATTAATTAAATTTGATTTTACTTTTTTAAAAACAATTACATGAAAAACACCAAGAACAAAAAAAATAAGCCAAGTCCTATAATGAAACAAAGTAATGTTTATTGGATAGATAAATCATTTCTGCATTTAAAAAAGGTGATGTGATGCATTTAGGACAAGAACTAAAAAAAATATACAATAAACAATAACATGACCTGTGTAAGGGGAAATAAGTAAAAAAATTATAAAAAAAAGTAATCTGCAAAGAAATTAATATAAAATAGGATAAGGTTATTGATAACAAAATAAAAACAACAAGATTCAAGAAGATTCATGAAATTATAACAAACAGTTACTCTTTTTGTGAATACAGATATGTATCACAAGTGCGACACTTAGTGCTGACCCCCCCCCCCAATATTTATTACTTATAATCCTGAATACTAATTGCTTGATCAACATACAACTGTGTATAATTACCTCCTACCTATATTCTGCTGTTTACCTTTACTGAACCATTAGCTGTCTTATAGCTTGACATCACAGACTGTTTTATTATCGCGCCACTCAACTGTTACAATGTCACCCTCGCTAAACCATAGCATGTCACCTCTTTTTGAAACTTTTTCAAAAGACCTATCTTTTAGGGCAATAAGAAAACCTTTCCTATTTTTATAATTGTGCCACAAACACCAATTCCACATTTAAAAGATCTTTAAATAGTTTAAGTTTAGTGTACAAGTTGTCAAAAAATAAAAGATATACCGCACGCAAGACTGATTGTGACAATATGGTAACTACATCATAAGATAAGCCAGAGGTGGAAGTCTGTGGTGTCTTGTCTTCAAACATCAGCAAACCTAAAAAAATAACTCATTTATAGATCTATAGTTAAATTTTACCACCTTTTGTAAATAGGTCTTGTAAGTCCACATTGTGCTGCGTAATGGTTGGTATACATAACAATAGTCTTCACCATATCCACTGTAAAGTACAGCTTGACGAAATGACACAGGGCTTAGGGATTCCCTGGCAGCTCTTTTAGTTAAAATGTCCCCATTGACTAAGATGTGTTCCATGTTTCTTAGCAGGTTGGAATCTAGGATCTGGAGGTCCACCATCTACATCAGGATGCTGTCTTGGGTCTGAAATCAAAACAAAATATATGTTGACTTGGCTAGATGATTTATTATAAATATAGGCCTAATACTTAGAATATAAAATAATGTAATAGCTATAAAAACAAGAGAATATTGAAATACTTAAAATATATATTAGAAACTAAGCAACTATAGCTAGTTAACAGTGAATACAAAGCAGAAATATTTAGACAAAGCTACAAGATACTAGAGCATACACTGTAAACAGCTCCTTAGCAACCATTTTTTTTTATTTACTGGTGTGAATGGTGCATTTTATTTTATTTTTATTTAATATTTTATAAATAATATAAATACTTCATATTATATCGATATTTCCAGAAGAGGCTGGTGTAATTAATATGAGTGTTTGTTATAATGATTAATTTCATGGTGGGGCAATTTAATTAAAAATGTTCAGTCTTAACATTGAGAAAAAAAAGTTGTCAACTCACCGATGCCTGTCCCTATGTTGTGTTGATTTATTAACAGAGATATTTCCCAAATCATCGTTTGAATCTTCGAATTCTGTTTCCACAATATCTTCATCAGACGATTCATCACAAAATCTCATATCACTTGCGGTGTTAAACATTTTATTTTCATTTAATTCGAAGAGTCTGTCTCAAATCGACTTCACTAAAAATCCAAAATGGCGTAAGCAAGGCATTCGCGGTTCAAGCGTTTTCTTTCGCTTTTTTCATAATAAGAAAATAAGTTTCGCATTTTATGTGCGTTTTTTATGAATGCTAAAACAATTAGGAAAATAATGCAATTTTTAAAAAATAAAAAAGCTTAGGAATTATTATTAAAAAATACACATTTCTGCGTCGATTATAAGAACGATAGCTAAGGGAGAGAATTGAAAAGAGTTAAACTTTTGAATGGGCCTATGATGGAAGCCGCCATTTTAATGTACTAAAAAGTAAACAAAAAACTGTGACGTCACGGTTCCGTCGAGTCTAGTGGTTTTTCTAATCTTTTTAAAAAAAATGTGGTTAATCTAACTATGAATAAATCAATAAATTAATTAACGTCTTTAAATAAATGTGTGATTAACAGTCTGTCTGCAATCAAAAATTTTTCTCTACCTACATACTATTTTACAGCCCCCCATATAAAGCAGTTTCCTTACAGTAAGAAATCAGACAAACAAACAAAAAAAATTATTTAAACATGCAAACAAACTTGAGTTTTAGTAAAATACTAGACTACCCGTCATCCGTTGGATAACTGTGGGATTCGGGGGTCTTCCATCAAATACATCACGTCTGTCACTCAGAGGCATAGCAACCCTTCCCGGCGCCCAGGCACAAACTTTTCGATTTGAACCCCCCCCCCCCCCCCGCAGGATTTCGATTTGCAACACCCCCCCCCCAAACTTTTGATGTGCACCCCCCCCCCCTCAAGATTTCGATTTGAACCCCCCCCCCCCCACTCAAACTTTCGATTTGCACCCCTCAACCTTTCAATTTATTTTTCCAACCCATTTTGGCGCCCCCTAAGGTCGGCGCCCGGGGACATATGCCCCCCCCTCCTCGCTACGCTACTGCAGTGTCACTTATCGTCACAAAAAACAGACCCCACATTCAAAAATATGTTTTTTATCTTTTAAAAACACCGAAAACATCCTTCATATACTGACGTCACAGGTGACCTACTCAACTCTACTTCACCTGCCCAGTGTCCCGCCAAGTCTCAGACAACATGTTTTTATCGTTAAAAAAAACGATTCCAGCCGAGCATGTCTCTGACCACACTATCCTTTCATATGCTTAGGACAAAGAAACAGATGAACTCTACTTCACCTGCCCTGTATGCTGCCAAGTTCAGATAGGCAACTTTATCATTCACATCTAAAAAAGAATTGAAAAAAAATATCATTGACGTATTGGTCTAGAACCTGTGCCACCCGCATGAGAGCCGATTACACTACCAACTTAGCTATTTAACTCGTGACGTCACAGATGAATTTTTATACTATACTTTAATACTTTGAGTCTCCTTATGCAACTTGATTTACGCGCATAGATCTAGATCTAAGTCTAGTAGTAGTAACTTTCAAATTAAATTTTATCTTAAATTAGCCAAACAAAGATGTATATAAAATAAAGAAGGTCTGAAATTATCTAGATCTAGATAGAATTATCTAGACTAGATCTAGATTCTACGACTCGTTTGCTTAAGTCTTAGTCTTAAGTCTAGATCTAGATCTAGTTGCGTAACTCTTGCTAGATCTAGAATCTAGATCTAGAATCTAAAAATTCTAGATCTAGAATCTAGATCTAGATAGATAAATCACAAAGATTTATATCAAGTATTTAAGGACTAAAAATGTATTATGATTATAAAAGTGATTATATTTTTATTTAATTAATCTTTGGTATGTAGGCCTATCTAACTAATCTTTTTTTTTACCTAGATTCTAGATCTAGATCTATAAATAATTTGCTTGGTCACATGATATTTTTAGATCTATAAATAACTTTTTTGGTCAGATTGTAGAGAAATTTATTGTAAAACTAAATGAAAAAGACAGTTGAAAATGTATATAAGTGTTGAAACGTAATAAAAACAGCAAAC